CTCTGAGGAAATGGTTCTGCTCAGTGGTCCCATGCTGTGGGGCTTCTTCTGGGGTTGACCAATGCAGATGGCTGCTGCTGAGGGGTTATGGAGTTACAGTCTTGGCTTGGGTGGTCATAGGTTAAAGCTCTCTATTGAGGAGATATTTGCCAAATAATTCTCTGAGACGAAGAATGCTATGCAGATGTTACCATATGTAAGTCATATTGTGTCTCTCTAACCATCCCAAGCATTTAAAAGCATTGCCTGCAATGGTTGCTTTTAACACACACACCCACACACATATATATGTATGCACACACAGATATTTATAAATTATACTGTATTCATTGTTCCTCATAATTTCTGGAGTCAATTTAGTGCTTTTCCTGCATAATAAAGCAAGGTGATATTATTTATTTAGTCGCTGCTATAGATTATTCAGTGTTACTGCATTGCCATAGGAATTGCAGGTTAGTTTAGGCTAAAATTTGGGTAATTAATGGTGAAAAAACCTTCACAATGATGTATTTTGAGAGCAAGCCAGATAGATGTCAGATAAATGATGACATTTTCCTGGAATTAGATCAGATTAGCATCATGAAGGATTGGGAGCAAAGTATGTGAAGTAGTTGTCATTATGCATGGTTTGGAAGGCTGTCTAATTCTCATAAGAAAAATTGAAAGCAAACTGCTTGATGCTTCCTCTCCATTGAAAGTTTCATTCTCCTTTCTTGTGCCTTAAAGATGCAAGTGTTTTGTTCTGTAAACTGCAAGAACTTGTAGTATAAAGAATAAAGTTTTTAACTGCTGGAATTAAATCATTGCTTGAAGTCAAATGAGCACACCACATCTTGGAGTCCCTTTCATCAAAGCAGGTCAGTTAACTTTAATGAAGTCATCTTCAATTTGCTTTGATGTAACATCAGAACCCAGCCCAGATGATTCTAAGTGATCAGCAAATAAATTTCCACATTGCAGTCTTTCAAGGACGTAGGCTTAATGAAGTGTCTGGTTTTCTGGGTTCTTTAACTTCTGAAGTGCCTAATTTGACTTGCTTTTAATAAGGCCTGTTTGTGGTTTTGGGGGGGAAACTGCTGACTTTTCGTTGGAAACAGAGCCCTCTTTAAGATGCCATATGTTAGACAAGTAAAATAGAGGCATGCAGCATCAGTAATTGCTATCAGTTCTGAGACTGTGCAATGCAGGAAGATTAGGCTGCAGATTAGGTTTTTTCTTTTGGGAGAGAAGAGATTTAGAGTCTTAAATACATAATTTCTGTAATGACTTGAGTGAGGACTACTTGTCAGCCTAGAGATTACGATCTTAGACCCTTCTCTTTTAAAGCAACAGATGTTAAATAGCAAATCTGGTCGAAGTGCCCTGTGTCCTCTCATCCTAAACTGGAATAAAAGGAAGAAAATAATGAAGCTCCATAAAATGCTTTCAGAAATATTTAGTGCCAGAATGTGCTTCATATGGTAACATCAAAGGAATTCTGTAATGTAAAATCAGTAACTGTAACACAGTTCTTGAAGAGTTTTAGTCTTGTTTCAACTCAAATCATGTCTGTCTGTTTCTCTGCTTTTCTGGCAGAAAATTGTTTCCTTGAAAAAGACACAGGTCTTAAATACCCCCAAATTTCACAATATGCTTTTTTTTTTTTTTTTCCTTTTGCTTACAGCTTTCTCCCTTTGTACGACCCAATTGGAGACATGATTATATCAGTCCCTAATTGTAAGCCTCCCTTGTGCTAGTTTCTCTCTCTCCCTTCTGACTGCAGAAATGTATTACTAGCTGCAGACTGATCACTAATGTAAATGTAGACACCATAATGTTGTAATAGTTGAAACAGAACCAGTCAGGGCTACACCAGAAGATTGTAGCCAGAGTCGTAAGTCCTGTTCAGATTCAGTACGCTCATTTGTGATTCCTAGTAAGCGGTAACTCGGCATAGGGCTGTGATTTGGATTTGTCTCTGAGACTGAATTGTTGCCAGTGTAAGTCAACAGCAATCTTTGACTCATGAGCCAGACTCAGACTCAAACCTCTTGACAAAAGGTTTGGTACTGTGCTGTTTTTCCGTTTACATGAGAAAGGAGAAATCAGGTTTTCAGCTGGGCAGTGATTCATGTGGCCAACCTAAGGTCACAATAAAGGCTCTTGCCCCCGATGCTTTTGCACAGAGGAGCGTGGCTAAGCCAAGTATGCAAAGACTTTCCAAATACTTCTGCGTATACCTAAAGAACATTTCCATCAATCCGAGTGTAGCACAGGGGCATAAATGGAAACTGAATAGAAGTCTGAAATAATTATAATTATCTTACAGAAACTTAGCTTACTAACAGTGGCTTGCATTACTAATTCCTTGTGATTTTTATTTTATTTATTTCTTTATTTTTGCCAGAAGGATCATGGGCTGGAATAGGCACCATGCCATCCTGCTGACTCAACTCATTCTATATGAACTGATTTTTCTTGCATTCTTTTACATTTTGAGACAGGTTTTGAACAGTTTCCTACTTGTCTTTTGGGTTGGCTCATCCCTTACTGGAGAAAAACGTGTTTGAGAAAGGAAGACAGCATGGCTGGACTGTTTTGCATTATTGAATGTTGGGGGATGAGTCATCGAAGATTGCCCAAAATCCCAGTTTTGGGACTGTGACTGACTGAAGAAGAGAGATGTATGCTGATTAGATGTTCCGTTGCCTTGAGCATACCTTTCATTTTCACTGGCGTTTTGTTTCAATTAAAGCTTTGAAGAAGCTTGTTGTTGACTAAACGTCAGTATCTCAATCCCAGTAGCTTGGTTCTTTGGTCTTCTCTCTCTGTGTCCCAGCAATATGAAACTCTATCAAAAGATGCTGCTATGAAGCTTCGTCTTTCCACTTTCCCCTCCTGCCTGTGTGGCCGGTGGGGTTCCTGCTCATACCTCTGTTTGATCTCGCTCACTGGTGAGACCCAGAGCTCACCTCCCACACACACCTGTAATGAGACCATGGCTACATCAGCTTCCTTTCTTTTCAATAATTCATTGGGTTTGAATGCTTAGAGCTCTCTGAATTTTTCAAAAGCTTGACCATGCCAAGGATATTTTTCTGTAGGGCTTCATTTTTTTTTCCTTCTTCTGTCCTCCTTGTCCTGCTGAGACAGTTGATCCTTTCAGCATATTACAATGAGGAACATGAAGGAGACATCAAAAACATAAATATGAGGAACCATGTCCTGACCTGGGACCACTGATTGCAGTACAATGTGTGTATTTTAGAAGGGAATGTGTGACATTCAGCTGGTAGTTCATGTTCAGGCAGACTGTAGTGTTGCACTTAACCTTAGCAGGAGATTTTATCATAAGCATCTAAGTAGAAAATGTTAACTTTATCCGCTCAAACCACTAATGAGCCTCTGCTTCTCCATTCTGTCCTTCTGTAATTAAGCAGAGATGATGACAGAGCTTTAGCAAATGAGAGCAGTTTTAGCAATGAGATAAAGGAAAAATTCCCATACGAGGTCTAAATTGTCACAGACCTTACTTGATTTGGAGAAACGAGTCCTAGCTTTGTACTGTCGTGTTTGTCTGTTACTAGCAAGCGTGGACAGTTTTTCTTCTCTATTTTTCTTCAGTTGTTTATTTGAAATACTGATATATTCATCTTGAAAAATTCTTAATTTGAAATATGTTGAGCAGGTCGAACTCTGTTTTGCTCTGCACTGTAAACGATATGAAGGTTATTTACACAATTCTGTATGGTATCCCCAAGACTATTATAAATAACTTTTTAACTTATGATAACGTGTTGATAGTCAGCCTTTTGGGAAGGAAAGCTTTGACATGAAACACGGGATATTTGAGGAGCTTATTTATCAGAATTCAACGCCTAATTAATTGTTGCCATGGAAGAGGTTCTTGGTGCTGTGATTGTATGGGTATTTTTTTTATGTCTGTTTCATTTTGTTTTAAATGTATTTTCGAGCTAAGCAGTAATATATTAGCATACGAAATCTAACAAATGGATTGTTGACTGGCTAATGCCTTAGCACTAAGCAGTGCAGGGTTAATCATTTTAGCTCAAGTGTGTCCAAACTTTTTGATCCTAGAAGCTTTGTAGAGCTGAATATCTTTACACAATATACATGGTCCATTTGACATAGTTCTGAAGGGCAGAGGAAATCCAAAGCAATTCGTGGGTGAGAGAGAGTTTTCAGCTCCCCAGTAATTTTTGCACATCTTTGTGGAAGAGGCTGGACAAGGCATGCAACTGAGTCCACATGATCCATCTATTGCCTCACACGGTGAGGTTATGTTTACCCCATATTTCCCACCAAGCTGCAGCTGTTCACCAGTCACACAATCATATTCCCAGCATGGGAAACTAACTTGAACCATTCAAGATCTGCAGATGCTCTCAGAGTCACACACACCTCAGCTCCATCATGTGTTCCAGAACTGATGGTAATGTGGAGTTAAACTTCCAGATCTGCATATGATAGTTCACCATATCTCCTTAAAAAGAGTGGAGCTGTAGCAGAGTACACTGGGAGAGGGTCTGGCCTCATTTCACATGTGAATGACTTGCTTTTTCACCCCATATTCCTTTTCCAACTCTTCTGAGTATTTGACCTCTTACTCTGAGTTCTGATGTTGTGGAATTCCAGTGTAGATATAGTGAGATGAAATCAAGGATAATTAGGCATTTTGAGATGGTTGGAAACAAGATTCCTGTTTCCAGGGAATTATCTGGGAAAATGGGGAAACTGAAAGCTGATATTCAGTTCTTTATAGTTTGCTCCTTAGCGATTATAGCTCATAAGCAGTATTAATGCAAGATGTGTTGATATGGATTCTGGTTTGAAAAGCTGAGGAAAATTTCCACACAGCCAAGAAGCATTTAGAAATTTTGGGTTTTATGGGAGTTCAGATCTTGTTCTCTAAAAACTTCTGTGGGAACAGAAGAGATTAGATGTATGTTCTTGGTTAATTGTTTGTCCTTTTTTTTTTTTTTTTTTTAACTTCTATTTAGGCCTTGCAAAGCCTATGGGATTAGTTGAAGGTCCAGGAGGCTTGGGCCAGGGGGGAATGGCTGCTACCCTAAGAGATGATAGCCATGAATCGGAGACTAAATATGAAGAATATGGTTACAATGCCCAACTCAGTGACAGGATCTCTCTCGACAGGTCCATCCCTGACTACAGACCAAAAAAGTAAGTTGAATTCCATATTATTATTAGAGCAAGTGATTGTTTTTCTTTGGACTCTTGATGACAATTCATTTCTCCCCATCCCTTTCCAGTTAGTCTGCCAACATTTAGTCATAAATATACCCTTGAGTTTAGTGAAAATTAAAATGACCAGCTGCCATCTCAAGCATGAAGTGTTGTGTCAAAAACAACAGCAAATCAACTGCCTCTTCTTTAATTGCACTTGATGTTCTTTGAAGTGTTTAGTCAGGGTCTGCAATACACTGAAACATAAACTAAATATAATCCACAAGGGTCTTGTGATTGCAGTAAGTTTTTTTAGTTTCTGGAGTATGTGTACATTTTTATTCTAGTATTGCAATCTTCATATGCCTGTGTTATGTTTGACAAATTTGGAATTATGTGTTTATTATATGTACTGATTTATTGTATTTTGTATTGGGTGTCCTTATAATCTTCTGTATTTGTGGAGTTATGCATCTTCCAGATGTGACATCCTCTCTGTCAGCCAATGAATGACAATCAGTAATGTCTTAATGCTGAGAAAATCAGTGGCAATGCCTAGTTACTCTCAGGAGACAGAATTGAAAAGAATACTTAATTAATTTCTAATAATAATCTTCTGTTTTAAAAAACCCACTGGGGCTCCTAGGCAGAACTGAAAGTTAAATAAAAAAGTATCTTATTATTAAGCAGAGAGAAAAGTTTAGCCAAGCAAAACAGCTGTGCTCTGTGAGTAGATTGCAATTGAATTAGGATTTTAGGCAGTTCAAGCTGCCAAAAACAAAATCCAGCAAAACAAAACTTCATCTTAACCACAAACTTCATTAGCTGTGTTACATATTAATCTAATCTCAGAAGTATTGACTCAGCATTTGTTTTCTCAGATACTTGCTGTACAAAAGAAAACCTAGATCAAAGAGGTGGTGAAGAGAAGGAAAAAAAAAAGATGCTGCTTTGATGTCACATTTGGTCAATGTATCATAAAAATGTATAATGAAATTATCCTGGAAAAAAAGGTAGACTGCAGTCGTCATGCAAATGTTTGAGTTGTATATCAGATTCTGGTTCAAAGTCCCTTAAAATCAATATGAATTTTTTCAAGTGAACGTCAATGAGGTTTGACCAGGCCTGCTGTTATCTGCTGCTCAGGTGGATAATAAATGAGAATGATCTACCTGGAAATGTAAAAGCGAAGTCTGCAAAGTTTGAATCTAGCTTAACAGCTCTTAGAAGCATGGGAGCATTCACAGGGTAGTGATGTTTGACTTTAGACCGTGCTCTTCCGTAGTTGAAAGCATTTGTGATTCTTTTAGCTAAGCTTTTTGACATGCTTATTTTGGTAATCTCATAAGGCGGTGCTGCATGCATAACAGTCTGAGTTATGGACAACTGCCTTCCTTGTGCTGTTCGACATTTCTTTAGATGATTTTGGTTAGATCAAGATTTTGAAATAGTGTCTTGTGGGTTGCAGGTAATTGCTATGAAAAATGAGTTTGGGGAAGGTAGAAGCTCTTACATGAAGCGCCAATTTTGTATTTTTGTTGTTGTCAGTTTGTTTTTGTCTCTGACACCTTCAAATGTGCAGATAGTAAAATACAAGGTCTGTAACGTTGAATTCAGTTTTCTCTCCCTTCTTGTGCCATGTATTGGCATGAGTAATCAACCTCTTCTTATCCACATGTCCTATAATGCTTACTTCCAGGTGTGCTCCATAGCCACAGGGCAAATCTGAGCTTGACTTTGTTTGGTTTGGGAAATAGCTATGGGGAAACCAATGTGTCCATCTTTACATGCAGTCTGCTTGTAGTTTATACTTATGTTGTACCCAGTATTTTCCATCTTTAACAAGGAAGGACTTTTCATTCTTAAGTTGAGAACCAAGGTAGAATTGATGGCCAAGGAAATGTACAGTCCATGGCAAGTCTCTGAAAAAAAACAGAATAAAATACATGCGTACATATTTGTCTGGATTTCATAGACACAAGTTAGGAAAGTAAACGTGATTTTGCTATGCAAATATAGGACTTGTAATATTCCAGGTTTAATCTTGTTTTAGAATAAATTTGGTCATGAATAACACCTTTTGGTTCATTTTATCTTTGAACTCTTAGTTTATCTTTGACTTATTTTTTTCCAGTATTTTATTCTGGTAGAATTAGCATTTTCTCCCATCTTCTAGCATATATTCAGTAAACATTAGGAAGTATGATTGGTTTTCAGGAGGTATTTTCGTCCCCAATCAGCAAATTAAAAGTACATTAGACTCCAGAGGTGCACAGTCAGGCAATGTGACTGTGAAGGTCCCTAAATTGGAGTCACCGCCACGTCCTTCCACTGCAGTAAAGTCTGCAAGCCTGTGTGGGTAATGCTGTGCCCAGAAAGCTTTTCCCACCACTGTGTTCTACCTTCCTATCTGCTGCCAGCTCAAATATAACTGTGCTCAGAATGCTTTTCTTTAAGACAAGAATCATTAAATTGTTAGCAGATTTTGTGTTGTGTTTGAAGCAATGACAGTAAATATCTTGCTTGCAATTACAATTCACATAATAATTGCAAAATGATAGTTTGATCCTAATGTGGTGTAATAAATATCTCAGCTTTTTCTTCTCTGATATTGCACCTCCCACAGTTTGAATGCTTGCCCTGTCTCTCTGCAGAGAGCAGACAACCCTGGGGAAAACAGTTCAAAAACATACTGTGATTTGATATTTCAAGCTGTTTAGTTTCAAGAGACATGTAATATAAAGAAATTGCGATTTTGCTTTATAAAACAATGCAAAACCTCTCCAACAGTTTGTGAGTTTATTCAATGTGACCTTGAACAGTATTCTCATTCCATGTTGGATTTCACATGAATAGAATGTGCTGGTATCAAAGTTGTGCTGATTTTTTAGCAGGTTTTTTAATTCTCGAGTAACTTTTTGCCTTGAAGCAACTGAGTGCTGTGCTGCTGAGCTCAGGAAAGATGCAAAGGCCAAGTGGCAGGAATGAAAAGTGTTTGAGTTCAGTGTGAAGCAGAATACTCAGGATTTCTTATGGCTGATGAATGAGTATTCACACACATTCAGCTAATAACCCTAGAATTGGACTGACCTGAGATTTTTCACTTTGTTCAGATATCTTTCTGATCTGTTAAAATACATTAAAAATACATAAAAAACATAATAATAACTGTGGAATAGTGGTCCAGTCAGTACTGATTGTCACTATGTAAATTCCAGAGTAAATTTTACAGCAGTACTTATGAAGTCTATCTCAGAAGACTTTTGCATGATTATTTTTGCTGCAAGGGAATTGTTACTGCTTGTGATGGGATTATTTCCTCTGTCATACAGGCACACATGAAGGAATAGGTTATTTTCCCCTGGCAACACATGGCTAAGCCAGGGCATGCTCTGTGGTTCTCCAGGTTATTCAGTGGTCAAATGCTATTGTATTCAATTCCATTTATGTTTTTGATAGTGAAAATGAGGGTTGTGATGGCATGAACCTGAGTACTGTATTGGCTAATGGCCCTAACACATATGCATGGGAAAGCAAAAGCACACATATCTGTATCAGCTGACTTTACTGATGTGTGTAGGTGTAGAACAGCCTGGAATCCTATCCATGGACGTTCTGTGAAACCTGCTAGGCTGTGTGTGTGTGGCCTTCTTACTATAATGTCAAAGGATGAGTGTTCAATTGAATGGTCAAAAGTAAGTCTGGAGCAACACAGCCAAGATTTAGATAGAAATCTCACACTTCAAATCTGAAGCGCCCAGTGTCAACCACCTAAATCCCTGCTAAGTTGTTTGGCTTCAAGTGACTTAATTTGTTAGGGTTGCTGAGAGGGAAAAGAGAGAGCAAGTTTAGCTGGAGTATGCTGGACTGCTACAGCAGCCATAGCCATCCTTCTGCCTTTTGGGGGGATAACAGCCTACACTGCTGCCAGCTGCAGCACAAAATACAGATCTGTGCTCCTGTAACAAGAGATCGCACTCAAACCTTCCCAACCATGCACAAAGATAGAGGTGCTGCAGCTCTATATATGGCAGTAGATTTTTGACATTATCAAAGATTAAGAATACAGAAGTCAGAATCCTATGGAGTTTCTTACAAAGACAGGGAAAAGGCCCTCAAACTTGCAAACATGGTTTATTTTGCAATGTAGCATCCTGGTAAATTGGGAAGTCAGATAACTGGGTGCTTCAAATGTAAGCATCATCTCCCAAGAGAACATCAATTCCTGGGTTCTTTTTGATATAGAAGGGTGGATTGCAAGAGGTTGAATGAAACAGGATGAACACCTGTAAATCTAGCCTTCTCTAACTTTCTAACATTTGACTTTACAATTCAAATAACTCTGGGTTTTCTCTGCATGCCAAACACATCCACACATATGCACACATGCACTTGTCAAAACCACTTGCTGTGATGCACTAAGCGTATTTTTGAGGAAAGTTAATATGATCCTGGAGCTTCCATAAGGGCTGAATTGGCTTTGACAAGAAATTGTCGCTTCTTGGTGGAGATCTTCAATGTAACTGATCTTTTCTGTGCAACTCGATGCCAAGAGCACTGTGGCAGTTCAGTGATAACAATAATACTAATAAATGGATTCAGTCTGCTGGCTCTATCAGCCAAAGAAAATATTTCTTTGTGTTATGGTCATGGATGTTTGTACTGAGAAAATTCAACCCTAAAGAACAAACTTATTAATGCTGAGGCAACTCAAGTCTTTAGCCATAAAAAGCAGAGGAATCTAGGTCTCGAGGAAATTACTTTCATTTATTCAGTCCTTGTATAGAGGCAGGCGTTTCGTGGCTCGCTATAGAGTTTCACAATAGAAAAAGAATTGCATCTCTGGGGCTCTGAAGTGTAATTAATGGTTCACTCCACACTATAACTAAGGAAAAGCTTTTTTAATTACCTATCAGAAAGGATTCTGGAATTGATCAAATAGTGCTATCAAGGGGCAGACTTGGTAAATAGACATCTGATTTGTTCATTCAAGGGTT